GAGTGAAATTCTTCGTTTTTTCATTCGTTTCACCATTCCTTTGATATGTAAATACTTAGCTTCATGAATTCACGCACACGCGCCAATTACTTTTGAAGCGCTAGCTTTGACAATTAAATTAGCATTTTTTTCATTGGATTCGACGCACACGGTTTGTTTTTTTTTCTTCTATTTTCACCTGCTTATTTTAATTATAACTTAAAATAATTATAACTTAACGGATCTATAAAATGGTTTGATTGTTTGCCAAACAGAATTCGAAAGGAAACATTCGATCTGCTTCGAAAATGTTTGCCTTGATTAAAAAATGTTACCATTCACCGGACTAAATAACTAAGCCGAGAACTTCTTTTACTGGGATGGCTAAGTTAAAAATATTTCGTCAAAGTTGATTTCAAACTTTACAGACCATCGTCCCTCTAACAGTACAGTGAACTTTGCAACCAAAACTTATTTTAACCGTAAAATAAACTGAATGCACTTATTTTTTTTATAAAAAAAAGAAAAAAGAATTAAAAAACAAATAGAAAAGAAAAATTTCGAAGCAAGATGACTGTTACTAAATCCACTCTATAAAGAGATAATGAAGCTGAAACTTTTTTCTCGAGTTGAAGAAGTGTAAAATGACGTGTTAACTGACTCAAACTGCCAGTTTAACGTACATTTTTTTTACAACTGGATATCGTAAATTTAGAGAGGAAAAAAAAACAGTTCGAAATAATTGATATAATTGCTTGGCAACTTTATCCGAAGTGCTGTTTCCTTAACGAAGGTTTTCTCTATGCGAGATCCAACAAAAATCTACTCCAACTAAAAGCTCTCTCTTGGCGCTACGCGCGCTCGCTAGGAAAATTTTAACTGGCTCCCAAACTTTCTAAAACGCCTGCGAGGCAACTTTATAAATTACGCAAAAAACGCGAGCGAGGGAAACAGCAAACAAGAGGCAATTATCATTTTCTCGGGAAAAGTCACAAGTTGCACGAGAAAGATGCAAAGTAAAATTGCTTTACACACTGACGATTCATTAAAACTTTATCGATCAATGTACTTTCCACAATTATCCTCGCCAACATTAACTTCCATCCGTAATTCGAGGCGTTCCCTTCCTGCCTTCTCTCCGCGTATTAGCTTTTGATCGGAGAGCATAACTTACGTCCGCGAATCTCTCCCGCGAGATATACGCTGCTGCCGCACATGCAGATTCCACGGGATACTGAACTTGCCTCCGCCGCGGCTAATTCATTCCACGAATTATTTGCACCGACAGTAATTACTGGCTTGCATCTCCCCGGCGACGACGCCGTCCGCCGCCGTCGCGCCTTGGGTATTTCAAGTGGCTTATTTCGGACCTTTTTTTGTTTCGCTTTATCCGACGTATTGGAGTGTTTCAGCGTGATGCTCGTATTTTTTTCTTTTTTTTTATCATCGGCAACGCGAAAGTACATTTGAAACGTGCTTGGCAGTTCGTTCCAACTCTCGTTGAATGCCTTCTGTTTCTTTTTTTCAATGAATCATTGCTTTAGATTGCATACCGTCCATTTATTATGTTCCCGCAATAATATTCGCCAATCCGCAATTGTGTTCATATGCTTTGTCGAAAATTAGTAATCAATTGTTTCTCTACAATTATCGCTGTGATTAACGCATTGCGGAACAACATTTGCTTTGTCGTTAAATCATAACAAATGAACTCGGAGATCGCGAGTGGAGTGTCGAACGATGACAGTTGAGAGCTCGCACTAATGAAACGTGAATTGCTTCATTAATTTTAAACGGCATATAAACATGGATGCACGTTGCCGTTTCAGTCGTCCAATGTTTGCACACGCAGCATTAATACATATAAGCTTTAGGTTTTAACGCCTCCGTCGTTTATCGCTCGCAATCATTTGCACGCAAAATTAACGCGCCACCGAGCGGCAACCTGCTGTTTCCGGCTTTTAAAAAATTTGTCCGATTCCAAATTGCTACTCCGTGCCTATTCAGCGTACGCAATATAATATTCAATGTGCTCTCTTTGCTTAATACTCAACGACGTGCTGGCGAATTAGTTCGACACGCGGCGTGGAAAGGCGTAACGAACACCCTATTAAAACGCCAAGTCTCAGACGGTAAAGGTCGAATCTCATACTTCCGCAAAAAGGAAGAAACTTGGAAGGGAGCAGGAACCACGGTGAAAGGATATCCCTGCACCGCACGACGATAAAATTCAGCTCCGGACGACGCGGCGTAAGCTCCAAACCACATATCGTTATCTCGTAGCATGATCGCCATTCCCGATGAACATCATGTAACCTCTGTCCCATTGCTTTGCTCAGCAAAAATATTTATACTATTTTTAACGCGAGTATTAATAATGCTAATACTTTCCTTTTCATTTTCATTTTACAGTCGTTTCGAAATGATACGGTGCACGACGGGGCTTCGTAAAAAGAGTGTGCTCTTTTGTACTCGGTTTTTACGAAAAAACAGAAAAAAAAACTCAGCGCTATAGTCCGTACAATTTTTCACGTAGAAAATTTTAATGAACCGCGATCGAGTGGACAAAACAAAAGAGTATTACGTACACGTGGTATGTATAATTTTCATCGGGCCTTTGCACGAAAATTCATTTTAATATTCAGCCAAATGCAGCGCTCGCAATGCTTTGATGATCAGACAAAAGTACGACGAGACGCCGCGTACGAAAGTGGAAATTCTCGTGGGAATTTCACGAAGTTTATTATTAGTTTTCTTTTACCGTTGAATACACAGCCTCGCGGCGATTAGCCAATCCATAATCTTGAGAAGGACGATTATGTCTTATTAAAAGCACATTGGGCTGAAAGCCTCATCCATCGTCAACGTGTCATCCCCCCCTATCGAATCCATCTCGTCACATGCACAGCACTACGAGCCAACGACGACGACGACGACGATGGGAGAGAGCCAAATTGCGCCAAATGGCGAGTGCGTTATCGCGCTCCTAATATAATGGCCCCGGCAACGCAGCGAGCCGCGCGGTTAGCCGCCGCGTAATAATAATCGCAAACGCCGGGAGAGTGCGTCGACACCCACGCGCGCCCACGGGTGCATTGCGCGAGCGCTTTGCGAGCGAAGCACTGTTGCGGGATCGCCGCGTTTACAGTTCGAATGCTACCTCGCGGAGCTCATTTTGCGAGCTTATTTACTACGGGCGAGCCGGCGATTTTTTTCGTACGCCTTTCCAGATCCGGAAATGCAAAACAAACGTACCCCGTCACGAGCAGCTGCCTCGTGAAAAATAGTGCACTGCACGGCAAACTGAGAGGGGAGGAGGGGGATGGTAACACGTGAATTGATGGATGTGCGCGTAAGTTGTCGTGATTCAGCATTATACTCCCAGAGATCGTCGGAATAGATAGCCGTATAAATTAACCAAATGAATTCCTTATTAACTCGAATATTGACGTGACTTTTGGAAGGAAAACATTCCCTCCGCGTTCGTTGCGTTTAATATAAGTAAACGTGGGTTTTATTCTACGCAATTGTTGTGTCATCGAATTAACAGAAATAAGAAGAAAGTTTCGCCGAAACGACAAGCACGAGGCCAATTTTACATAAATCGTCAATAATAATACTTTCATCGCCTTTACACATACATGCAAAACAATAAAATGGTCAGCGAAAAGGGTTGGCGTGTTCCTCGGATCTTTATTCCTTTCTTTGCTGCTCGCGAATCACGCGATCAATTTGCGTTTTCGAACCGAAAGGAATTCTCGCGTGTAGAGAGGGAGAGAGAAAGAGAGGAAGGACCTTTTGACGACGAAGAAAATAATGACGGGGAAAAGAAAAAGGTAAGCGATTGCGCTCGAAAAAAGAAGGAAGAGAGGGGAAAGGATAAATCGGTCTGTCTGTCTTTCGGTGTTCTTTTCTGCAACAGGAAATGAGCGTTTTTAGCGACAGAAAGGCGAGGGGATCGCTCTTTTTACGCGACCCGAGCTATAAGTGAGCGCAACAAGGTTTATGATCGGCAGTTCATGGCGCGCCGCGGCAGCGCTTTAACCTTGTAATTTTCGTCGGGAGCATCTGATTTTCTCGCGATTTTAAATAATTGCTACGGTGCCGGTGCACGATATGGATTAATTCAACCCGCTAACCCCGATGAAAAAATATTGACGGGCTAATTTTTATTGTCTTTTCACAAATTGCGTTACACGCTCGCGTAGGTCAGCAGGCCAATTGATCTTAGTCATGGCACAAAGGAAAAAAACACGTCGCCTATTTGACGAAGAAAAAACTGTATTGCCGTCCTTTTCGACGCAAAAACTCTACCCTGACGTTTCACATGGCACATCGACGCAAAAAAAATTCAAACTACTATACTTATCAGAAAAGAAAGCGTAACCATCACTTATCGCATTAGTTGGGGTTTCGCACGCGCGCTTCACGGGAACTTGAGGGTCTAAAGTGAGGGTAAGAAGAAACAACGAAAAATGAAATTGCGCGTTTCGAATGCGAAACTTTTTCTCTTTTTGCGATAATCATCATACATTGGCTCTCGAAATTACTGGCCTCTACACCGGAAAGCGATTCCCTTCTGTTGCATATTTGTGCCCCCCGTTTTACCTTGCGACATATTTTTCGTGTACGATACATAGCTCACTGAAATAAAATTGCAACTACTCGACGAACAAGAAAAAAACGTTCGTTAGAACTTTTATTACAAACCTTTTGAAAAAAAAACATAAATCGCAAACAACAATAATATAGTTTTTGGAGCGTTGGATTATTCATTAAAATGAAAAACAAAAAAATAAAAAAAAAGTCGTTTCCGGCCTGGTTGAAAATGTTGGCCGTCGCCGATCTCAACGCGCAGCCTGCTGCAAAAGCGGAATCCGTACAGCGAGTCACACTCTCTTGCGTGCAGACATATGCTTCCCCACGTGGATGCACTTCATCCGCGCGCATATGTATAAAAAAAAAACGGCAAAAAAAAAGCGGATGCGTATGCGAGGTACAAAAAAAGAGAGCCCATTCACCTTGTGTGAACGAAAAAGTGAGAAGCCCAGGAGTGTGCCGCGTGCGTATCTTGTCTCTTGCGGGTAAAACTCTTTGGAGCACTAATCACAGAAACTGAACCAACAACAGTTGCGTTCACGTCTAGCACTAAATCACAAGAGTCGGAGCGCGCCACTCGATGCTCTAAATATCGTATGTTCTATTGGCGACGCGCGCTCGGGCACTACACAGCTCGCCGCACGAGTGTCGGCACACGAGTGACGAGAGCGCGCGCGAGCGACTCTTTGCCATACGGCCGCCGCTCTCCCACCCTCGTTCGAGCTCTTCTCCCCCTCCTCGCTCGCCCTTCTTCCCTAGTTCGCTTCTACTATTTTTGATGCGCGCAGAGCTCTCGCTCTCTTTCGGCAGCGTAAATATTTGCGGCGGGACGTGCAAAGGGTTTGATTTCTTTTTTCTCCTTACTCTGGCATTTCGATGAATAATTGGCTCCGATATTGAGTAATCAATGCCCAAAGAAAACACGATCGTCGGGGTAAATCGAAGAGCTGATGAATTATATTGAAAAGCCCATTATGACGATGATTGAAGAGAGATATCGTTGAAAATTTAACGATTGGTACAATTGGACTGCGCATCGTCGATTTTTCGTATTCGTCATTGGAATTCGCCCTCTTCTTTTCAATTAAATTTTATAATGGTCGAAGCGTTCTAATGAAAATTGGATGAAAAACGTCGAACGGTTTCCATGAAATTACATTGCTATATGCAATAGTGATACATTGAAAAGGTGACTTGAATGTAAGTATACGATACGCGAAACCAGTTTATCAAAACCTAAAGTTTCAAATTTTAACAAGTCGAGTGACTAAACCAGCGGCAGTAATAGTAGGCTACCTCGTATTCTCCAACTCTAAAACTGTCCAATATATAATATAATATCGTTGAAAATGTTGCTGCTGGCTTGACTACTACACCATTTTACGAGCTTTGTTGCTACAAATTTCTCACCCCTTGGAAAATTGCAGCTGAAAAAGAAAACAAAAGAAACTCGTTTTCAGTTCCTTCAGTCGTACTGTCTAAAAGTTAGGAGGGGGGAGGGGGCTTGATTTACACATTAATGGAGTTCTAATAATACTCGTAAATCTCGCTTCATTAAATTAAACGAACCCTTCAATTATCGCGATAGAAACGCTCGCAAATGGCCAGTTCAAGTATCAGTCCGTAAATTCGCGTGTTCGCATGCAGGAGGCAGATATGGGTTGCTCTGCATCGCGCGAGAGCGTGGAGGTGGGGGAGGTACACGAGCGGGACATCGAGCTTTCGAGAGCGAAAGCGCGTGCCTTCGCGAAATTCGGCCGGGTGCGTCTGGTGACATCTCGATACGCACTCGGCGAACGCCTCGAAAAGCCTTCGAAAATGACAGGCGCGCCCGCGCCTTCCTCGCCTCGTGCGGCCGCAGCATTTTTCCGGTCTATACCACGCACGGACGACAATTGCATTAATTATGCAGTCGATTAGCGGCGAAGGGGGCGGCGCGGGAGGGGTTCAAGAGAGACAGCTTTAGCATATTCGAGAGAGGGGATATGGTTTCGGCCCTTTGCCACCATCAATCCTGGCCAAGCCCCGACAGACGGCAGATCAACCGTCGAGATATACACGCGTACACGGGGGGGGTCGGCGATACGCGCAACTAGCCACCGCAATTGCTCTCTCGGTTTATATACTTGCCGCGCGCATGTACGTTCTTTTACGGGCAAGTGCGCGGAGATGGATATCCCAAGGATTCATTGCGCGCGGGGGGTTTTTTGCGTTGCCGCGTACCGACCGCGGCTGGCGACGCTTTCGCCGTCACGGCTGCTTTGATGACAGACGGGATTTACGTGTGGAATGAGATGTTTTAGGGCGACGACAATGATGGGTTACACGTAGCGACGTTTACAACGTATTTAGCCTGTCGGGAATGCTGATGGCAGGATTTGTAACGCAGTGATTCGGTCTGTCGGTGCTTGTAATTGTGTAACGATGGAAGATGCTGGAAGGTGCTGTTAGGAACTTGAGTGCGGTGCGGCTGAGAACACTCTTCATCGATTCGAGCGTTCAACTGTCGAAATATCAATTTCGACTGCAGCCCGTTACGCCTCTTGCTTCGAAGCAAGCACGGCGACGACTCTCGCGTGACGCATGTTGACCGAAGTAACGTCACAAAAGATGAATCTTCCTCGGTCGACGGCGACCAGAGTTAATAGCACAATCGCCAAGGCTTTCTCGAGCATCCTCGACGCAGCAACTGGGCACCCATTTCCACGGCCGCGGAACAGCCTCCTTTGCCGTCGCCCCACGGCGGATTTTTCAAAGTCAAGTCAACTCCCTCTCCGCAGCGTACGCGTAGAGATTCGTCAGGGTTTTTATGTATTCGGGAGAAGGGCCATTCGTTGCTCGTACAAACGTGCTGTTGGCCGCCGGATGACGTATGACTGACGCGCCGGGGGTTGCAGCGGCGGCGAGCGCGCGAGGTTAATCGAATTGATCGCCGTGAACCGGCGGGGGGAGGGCCGGGGCAATCGGATTGACTGCATGCGCGGGGCTACCTTGTTGTACCGGGGCTAAACTATTTGGCCGGCTGCCGCTGCCGTTGATTTTTTGATGGATTCCCGACACTCCATAACCCGTCGTTCGCTCGCTGCTTTGTGCGCGCGCGCCGGGGAAAATTCGCGCGCTAACTGGATTTTCGGCGATTTGATTTACGAGTTTGGCTGGCCTTTGGGCACGCGCCCTCATTAGGACCGGATTAGGAATTGATTTTTCTTTCGCTTCGCTTCCCGTCGAAAGGCTGCCCTTTATCTCGCTGGAGCTTTGCGAAAGCATTAATCAATGTTGATTTGTTTTATTATGCTAATTCAAGATTTACCTTATTTATAATTTGGTCATTGCAGGCTTACTTAATTGATTGATAATATCCTATTTTCAGGCTATCGATTTTGTTACGCATTGCAAAAGTTGCTGCGCTAATTTTTTTCTTTAGGATACGTAGATTTGTCAAATGATTTATTAAACTTATACACTGAACAGCCCTCGATAATCGAATATTTTTAACAAACATTTGCTGGTTATAAAAAATAACGTTTCAAATAATTAATTTGTCACATGTTTATGATCGAACGTTTAAAATATTTTATGACGTTAAAATGGCATATTTTTTTCGAATTTTCTACTAATGATCTCGTAGAAGTAAACAAATCTGACCGCCGGCAAGTTCGCCGTCAAAGTGAGCTATAATTTTTGAAAATTCATTTGTTCTCAACGATGATACATCGTTTCGAAGTGAAACGTAACTGTAGCTTCAAATGTACTTTTCCGGGGCTTTACTAGCGTTGCAATGCGATTGACGCGATAGGTTAATTCATGACCAGCCGTATGCACCTAACGGTTTAGCACGCATAGTCTGTAACTACGACAGAAAAAAAAATTAATGACAATAACCGACAGACTGGGATCTTTGGCAAGACTACGAATTCGGTAGCCGGAGCGTCATTGGCTTTCGCAGCCATTTTAATCAATCTGGCTGCGGTAGCAGTCCCCCGAGCGAGGCAGCGTCCTTTGTCAGAGCGGCGCGGGCGGAGAATACAGCACAGCAAGCTGCTCGCGCGCCGGCTTCTCAACTTGGCGCTAGCTGTCTCCCGATACATTGTGTCGGCAGAGCGATCATGCATATTCAAGGGAGAGAGAGAGAGAGAGAGAGAGAAGCGATTGCGCGGACCATTGAAGGCCTTTCGGCCTGCATGCACCGCTGACGGTCAATTAACGCTGCCACTGCTGGTTATGTAAGAGGCGACTGGACTTGTCGTCCACGTTCATTGTTATACGGCAGAGGCGCGCTGTATCCTTGCTTTTCGCCGGCGCGCGATATTTGCCGAATGCACCGTCGCCACGATGTTTATTTGATAGCGAGCGGCGACGACGCTGCGGGCTAGTCACGTTTCGGCGATTCGCCCCTTCTCCCGTGAGCCGCGAAACTCGAGTTTGCCTTTGAAATTCGGCCTATATATGTATATACATATATATCTATATCTGTGTGTGCGCGCGTGTGTGTGTGCGCGCGCGCGCGCGAACAGCTATTCGATGGGGCTCAAGTGGCGTTGGATTTCATATGCAGATTCGCCAAATTTCAAAGGAGATGGATTTGTCCGAGTTCCTCGGTATCTACGAGATTAAACGACGACTTTTAGCGAGCTTGCAATCGATCTGCAGTTAAGTTTTTATGGGTTTGGCATGCGACACGACCGAATAACCTTTGGGAGTTGCAAAATTAAGCTCGTACAAGATTAATTTTTTTATCTCATCTCGGTGGTGTACGAGCGTGATGCGCCGTAAAAAAGAAAAATACAAACGAACAATTACGATTGCTGCCCGAAATGTCAATCCAAAAAGTAAAAAAACAAATACGAATATCGAACGACGAGCTTGATTTTAATCCTCTTACAAATGAATATCGGAAGACAATGGCATAACGAAGTGAGAGGCATTCGCGAAAATGTAAATGAAATATGTATTTATAGGCGTAATTGTGAACGGAGCCGATGCGCGTCCATTAATCCTTATCAATGTACGACTTTTACAGCGCTCCTCGCGAAACACACCTTACGCCTTCTCGAATCTGATTGTATGCAGGAAATTAGCAATAAGGGCCGTACTCGGAACAACCGATATTCGCCAGGCTTCATAAATGAGCGATCATACGGCAACTTCGGAAAAGTCTCATCTACTTATGGAAGCAGATGATGTTCATTATTCGATGTATTTTCTTTTACTTTACGGGATACATTTTAATCAAATTTTTATGCTTTCGAGTGCATATATTCGTTCGTTCTGGACAACATTTCATATGCCATTTCAGAGATTATTTACAAAAAAAAATTGTTGATTAATTTCGGATCGAAATAACCTTCAGAATAACTTCAACGTTCACGTCCAGCTGTACGCGCGCTAATTTATAATGTAACCTCGGCTATCCGCTCATTTAAAAATTGGAATCCATGATGCTGACAAAGATATTCGCAACACTCAATCAATTATTATTAAAGCTCGTGTCTCAGACCTTAATTCGGCACTTCGACAACGATTCAAGCAGCTTTGCTCTTTCAAGTCCACTGGCATATTCTCTTTGTCACTTCAGGGTGGCGAATTAACGGAAAGCTTCGTTCTCAAGCGTAGGGATTAATGATCCGGTGGACG